ACACACACACACACACACACACACACACACACACACACACACACACACACACACACACACACACTTCATTATTGTTATTTCATTACTGTTATACTGCATATTTGAATTCTGTATATCACTGTGAGGTCCTTTCAATCCAACAGAAGCTTTCTTTATGCAGAAAGACTGTCCAACATATCCTTTATCCCTTCTCTGCACACAGCCTAATCATCTCAGCCTCACCTGTCCAACTTTGTCTCCAAACTGCTCCATGAGCCGTCCTTATGATATTACTGGTTAATAGTAATATTACTCATTAATAATCCCAATGAAAATCTTAGTATCTTCATCTCCACCACCTCCACTAGTGCCATCATCTTGAAACCAAACATCACAGGAGGTCTTATCTTATAAACCTTCCTTCAGCAGTTTTACATATATAATGAATCTGGCTGATAATCTATGTCATTGTTGTTCATTGGTGGTGGAAAGGAAGATGGTAATATGTCAGTTTAAAAGAAAATCAAAGCTGCTGTTAGTGAAACAACAGATTTTCCTTCACGTTCCTGCATCTTACCATGCAGACTATGGGCTCCAGTAGCTTATCACTAGGCACGTCCATCCAGGTCATCTCTATGGCCCCAGGATCGCCAGGGGAACATGGCGTCAAGAGGTCATCCACCATCACCTGGTTGTTGCTTCGGGATGGACCGCGGACCTGCAGGAGTAAGGGGGGAAAAAAGCTCCTGTGCAGCACCGATTAATCACACCAAACACTGCAGCCTCCACATGAAGGCTTCATCGAACCCCGCTGAGTCTATGGGCGATCTTTGAGACACCAGTAACTCAATCTCAACTACATACTAAACACAATAACTTAATTAAATTCATGTTAAACTGGTTAGTTTGCAGTATTCTGATAACATTTACAGTAACGGAGTCTGTTAGACTGCTGCACGCCTGAGTGATGATGCTCTTTAATAGTAATATACTGTCTAGTAGCTGAAAAGCAGCTCTAATTCCTCATTCCTCAACATCTGCTTACATACCATGGACAGATTTGACTAAAACCTGAGAGTCAGCAGAAGCACAGGACAGCTGATCACAGGTACTGGAGCTCACAGGCTTGGTTTTTTGGGGTGATTTCTTTTACAAACAAGCTTAAAACAGCTAATTTTTAACAGAGCATGAACTGAACTTTAATCAAGACTTATAAGACCTTATAAGTCCAGGTAACAGGGCCCCTTTCAATAGTTCATTTATATCACAAAGATCCAAGATTGAAGATTTCACAGGTTTCTTTCTCTTACCTTTTTGAAATGTGTGGCAGATTGGACCTTCCTAACGGGTTGCATGAGAGCATCCCGGACGATGATGCTGATGTCGGCACCGGAGTAGCCTTCTGTTTTGCGGGCGAGCTGCCGCAGGTCGGCCTCGCTCAGGCTGTGCGGCGTGTTGCCCAGATGGAGGCGAAACATTTGAGCCCGAGCCGGCTCCTCTGGCAGAGGGATGTAGATACGCTTCTCAAATCTGACGCACAACAAAAATAACAAGCCTGTCTTACAGATGCTCCTCAACACGTACATGAACACACGTACACTTAAACAGCACACAAGAAAAGGTATAACAAAGCAAAGCGTAGCTCTAAAATCAACTCGTTACTATTAAAGTTTAGAGGAAGTGAAGCAGGAGTCGGATACTGGGTTCACTGGCTGTAGATTGACCACTTTTCCTTATTTCTGCCATAAATCCCACTCCACTGGTCGATGCTTATATTAAACACGACCAAAGTTTTAAATAATCAGTCTATGTAGCTCAGACTTCAGGATTATATATAGAATTAGTTTTAGACATTTTTTATATGCTTGGCTCGATATGATATCATCAAGAATGGATATCCCTAATAAGGTCTCAGGCACGCAAATAGCAGCCAGTCAGACGAATAATAACCAAAGTAGGCTTAAAATGTGGGTAGCCTTATAGAGACAGGAGCTAAAATGTTTTATTTCAGGCAGATGATAATTCAATGGGCTGTTCCAACGCGAGTATATCGAGCTCTGAATCCTACAAAGCTCGTTTAGTGGAGTTCAAGAGCCGCATCTCTGATTTGTTTAATAATTCTATAATACACTTTGTATTACATATGCTTCTAACTGGGTATACATTTAAGATTATGCTTCCACAAGACACCGAGTGGATTACAAGTTTAAGATGTTATTAATCAGCTGTGGATTTCAGTGCCACTTCTTACAGGAGCTGTCTTCTTTTTGCATTCCCAGCACTATTCACCAAAAATGCAAGCCTGTACAGATCTGACAGAAAAGCTGATAGCTGCTGGGAACTCTTTAACTCTATTTCCCAAGAGGAGGCAGGATGATTTTTATACTGCCTGCCCTGCTCAGTGAGGTGAGAGCTGTCGATCAGAGCGATCTTTCACTCTGTTCAGTAACAATTACAGAAGGAACTACTTCCTGTTTGAAGCCACATCCTTCTCGTTTCAAGTGAAACTTTTCTTTTTTCCACATTTTAATTTAACATTGAATTCAGCTTTTGTGCTTAAATGGAGGCAAAGTGTAGCTGCTGATGAACGTGTTGTTGGGTACTGCTGGTTTCTCCAAGTGGCCATCTAAATAAGCTGAACTATCCCCCAGCAGCTTGTGTTTGTAATGTGCCCATGGTAACATAACAACATGATGAGCCTCAGCTAACGTCTTCTAACAGATCACACACACAGTGCACTGTTTCCAAAGCACAGACTTTTTTTCATAATTGTTCATCTAGCCAAGGTAATGCGCACTTATTTTGAAAATTCAGTCACTGTCAACGAGCAAGCTCTGGCCCTTCCTGTTTTCCCTGTGGGCAGGTCTCCTGAAATCTTTTCTTCATTTAACACTTTATATAAATACCTCATGGAGGTTGGTCTCTACTCTTTGCTGGATGATCTGTAGGGGCTTTTCTTTACTATAGAAAAGATCCTGTCATCACCCATGTCTGTGGTTTTCCAGGTCTTCCCATGTGCTTCCATGTGTTTTCCTCAGTATGTACAAAATAGTTAGCCACTCACGATCTTAATAATATCCATACTAAATTCTTTTTCTGCATTAACAGCCACAGCACACTTGAAATCACTTCCTGACCAAAGTGTTAAAGTACAGATGCAACACTTCAGTGGTCAATGCAATATGATGGGTTAACCCCTCAACTTAGAATTGAATGTTTGCACTTGAAGCTTAAAGCATTTAGCAGTAACTCAAGTATGTTTTGATACAAAGGTAAAAAGACAATAATCATGCCACTGTCCAAAAATACCTGGAGCCAACATTAAATTCTAAACGTCATAGAGAACAACTCACAAGAAGTTTGGACAATGTTTTACATGGTCAGCATTCAAAATGAGAGCTGGAGCTCAGGTGTGTGTCCACACAAATGCTTTGTTAACAGCTGAGTAGTTTAAAGGAGGAGAAAAAACGACATCAGACTGTGACACCATCCATGGTCAGCAGTCAAAAAGCAGTATGAATCTTAACATTAACATGCGTTTAGACAAACAGATTAGAAAATCACTTTCTGAAATATTCCCCAAATGCAGGAGGATTTAATAAGAATTTAGATTTCAGATTCATCCTACAACAACAACACTTCAAGCCCTGTGGTTTCTCCATTTGGGTTCAAACTAACAGCATCAGAATCTACCCGTGTTCAAAGGTTTGTGTTTTCTTAACACACCAGAATTAGAAGTAACATGACCAGTGTTGGGACTAACGCGTTATTAAGTAACGCGTTACAGTAACTACGTTATTACTGTGGTAACGAGCACAGTAACTAGTTATTATGCCAAAATCAGGAACGCGTTAATCGTTACTGGGATTTAGATAGGCTCGTTATTTGTTACTTCGTGTGGTGGCTATCACGGAGCTTCCAGAGATTCAGTAACATTAGCAAGTGGTGGAGGCCAGCAGGTGGATGAGGGAAAGGGAGGCAAGAGGAGAGACCCGAAGCGGCCGCTGGTCCGAGAGTGTCAGGTGAACTCAACTTCAGGTAAGAAGTTATGACCTGCAGTCCATCTGGGTCAGATATGAACCAAGTTTAGGTGGAGTTTATTTTCGTTACGCTGACTTTTTTGTACTGTGTGCTAGCTAGCATGACGGAGTTTCTATACAGCTGGGTGGGTGCTATGATGTTACTGATGTTGAACTTTATTTTGTTCATAAGGTTAGTTAGTTAGTAGAGTTGCCAACCGTCCTGTAAAAAACGGAATCGTTCCGTATTCAGAGAAAATATTTCATATTGAGCTGAAAAGGAACACAGTTTGTTCCCGACTTCAGCTACAACGAAAAAGACACAAAGCTGGAGTTATTCTGTGCTGCACTTCTTTGCTGCACAGCTGCCTCTTCTTCTCTCTCTCTCCCCCTCCCTCTCCCGTTTCTACTTCAATCATGAAACTGATCAACGATCAGCTGATCGGCTTTTCTCTCTTGTTTGTTTATCGCCCACTTTGCGCCAGAAAGAGGAAACCATTGATAGATTGATGCATATATATCATCAGAACAGTGTACATCACTGTCACAACAGTGTTTGTTTTCATTCAAAGGCTTTATGATTTTTCCTATAATGGTGGGCGGGACGATTTTTTTTTTTTGTCCCAGTCCAGCCCTGTATGCAGCTCATCTGCAGTCTGGTGTTACCTACATCTTCCTACTCAGAAGGCAGAATTTCTGAGTACAATCGAAAGCACCACGACTGCAGTTTTTGTGTTGGATGTAAAAAGCGCACATAACGCTGTGACGTAGGCTAGAATCATGGCGGCGGTCAACGACAGTCGAGGCGTGGGATTTCTCTCATGGAAATATGCACATTATCTTTTCCTTGCTATTGGTAGGTGGCACAGTGCACTTGTGGCAAGTAAGCAAGCTAGAAGACTGGCACTCTTGCTGGGTATCCAGTTATGGAAGAAACACATTAACAAGAGAATTCTGAGTAAAACCAAAGTTACTTTCCCTAGTAACTAGTTACTTTGAAAGTACTTACCCAACACTGAACATGACAGAATTACCATTGTGATGAATAATAACAGTGCAGTAAAAGTACATTTTTTGGAATAAAAAGCCCCACAGAATATAAACAAAACAAACACACACACACAAACATCTGAGATGACCTCTGACCTTCTGCGGATGGCGGCGTCCAGCACCCAGGGGATGTTGGTGGCTCCGAGCACCAGAATGCCATCATTGTTGTTTCCGACACCTACAAAAGCAGAGTGTTAATCTACACAAGCACTTCTTTTGAAACTCTGGAAAACTCTCTTAACCGACTGTAGCAGGAATAACGGTCAGTGTAATTTATTTATACAATATAAACAATGATGAGCTACTGATGCCACACAATAAAATTGTTTATATGGTGTGGAATGAATACCGTACTAACAAGAAAAGTTATGAAAACAGAACATGCCTGACATCACCATCGTTCAACCTAAAGACAAATAACTAAGTCTTCAACTGAGAAATGTGTTGAAAACAATCAGAAAACTGTTTAAAAGGACATCCAGAAAATCACCAAACATTTGTGTTTTTTAGAAGTTCCTCTTGTGGTGCAGAGCAAGCACAGTGAAGTTCTGTGGTTCCGTATGGTTCTATGAACTCTGAAAAGGCTGCTGTGGTCTTAAGGTCCCTTATTTCAATCCATCATGGTGATGTGATCCAGGTTCCACAAAGTGTTAACAAGATTTGCACATTCAGTCTGACACAGATGTGAGGCTGAGAAAAGCCCCTCTTTGCTCACATCATCAATCTGACTTGAAACACTGCAGGCGCCATGTTTTTCCAAATGGCTGTGCCTCAAGTTTCAACAATATTATTTCATACTGCATATTCTTCACACTTCATATATCCGATAGCACTCGTGTGACTCACCCTGCATCTGGACCAGAAACTCTGTCTTGATGCGGCGGGCAGCCTCGCTTTCATTCTCGTTCCTCGAGCCGCACAGAGAGTCCACCTCGTCGATGAAGATGATTGAAGGTTTGTGCTGGCGAGCTAGATCAAACAGGTTTTTCACCAGCCTGAGAGAGACGGGCAGAGACGGAGTGAATATGTCTGAGGGATAGCCATATTAGACCATTAGTTTTTTATTACTAAGAAATCGATTTAGTCTTTGAAGTAACAAATGTTGTAATTATTGCTCATCACCTTTATGCAATTTAAGATGAGACCTTTAAAGATTAAAATTCCAAAATACTCAGTTATCAAAGTTGTTTTTTTCTAGTATTTCTACTTGCTAAATCACATATCAATCTGTTTATTAAAAATATACTTACAAAACTGTTTCAGCTTTATAAGTTCAGGTTTCTACTCTGGTACAGTTGAATATTTATGGAGCTGTTTAATTGATATTCTGCTAGGATAACAAAACAGCTGTCCCCAAGGCTGTGAGGAACTTTAGAAGCATTTCTGATATTTCCTTTTTACCTCACTTAAACAAGTGTACAATACTAAAAATTAGAAACACTCCTGACTCAGAGTGATGCTGAAAAACTAGTTCATCCATATTGTACGGCCTTTACATGACAATTTATAGCACGTTGAGATGAGACTTGTTGGGAATTGGCTCTATGTAAATTACACTGAATTGAAATGACGCATTGAAAACATACTTCTCACTCTCTCCCAGCCACTTCGACATGAGGTCTGAGGAGGAGACAGAGAAGAAGGTGGAGTTGTTGGCCTCGGTGGCCACCGCCTTGGCCAGGTATGACTTTCCTGTTCCCGGAGGACCGAAGAGCAGGATGCCTCTCCATGGGGTCCGTTTGCCTGAGAAACAAAAGACACAGAAGAAAAGTTTGTCTTTAAAGTAGTGTTGATATCAGTGTATGACTGCTTACTGGGTTTAAACAGAATGAAGAGACTTGAGACCTACAGTACCTGTGAAAAGGTGAGGAAATTTGATGGGCAGGATGACTGCTTCCTTCAAAGCTTCCTTAGCTCCTTCCAGCCCAGCAACATCATTCCACCTCACATTGGGTTTCTCCATTACAATAGCACCTACACACACAGAAAACAGTGATGATGACACACCTACTGGGATGCAATTAATAGACAAGGCTGTTTGATTATGACAAAACCAAAGAAAATTGTAAGAAATAATATCATAAATAAATATTTAGCTCCACATGATGGGGTTAAATCCCCCCCAAGGCCACTCACCCATAAGCTGCTCCTGCAGTTTTTTCTTCTCTGGGTTTTCACCCTCACTGTCACTGTCACTCCTAGAACACGGAACATAAAAATCCAATAAAGCCTAAAATGTTGTTGTTTTTTTACATTTAAACATACAAAAAAAGGACATCATACTTGTCATTGCTCTGTGCTTCTTTGACAGGCTTCTTGCCCTGTTTGTCTTTATTCTTCAGATAGTCCTTCAGTTTCTCTGCTCTGTCCAGGTACTGCATACATTTTGCTCGTATACTCTCCTTCGCCTTGTCGCTGTGGGCCTCATCTGGAGTAAGAGAAGATGTTGGCATCAGCAAGGTGTATGCAAAACACAAAGAGCTCAGCTACCTGTCAAGATAAGATACTTACATTTTATGGCATGTAGGAAATATTCCACAGCATGCTGGTACAGGCGCAGAGCCTCCTCATAGTTTTTCGCCTTGTCCTCCTCTGTGGCTTTAGTGACAAGATCAATGGCTTTCTGTAGCAGATGCAGAGATATAATATTAAACCATGGAGTCAAAAACAGGCAATAAACACATGTCATAAACACAGTTTTGTTTTCACTGTGTATATTATACCTGGGCCATCTGCTTAATAGCTTTAAATGCACCTGCTATCATTGATATGCACACAATACACAGCTGTACCTTTCTGTTAGTTCAAGCTCAACAGCCTTTGGTCCCCGAGGGAATGCTTCACTACCATTACTAACTTTAAAATAGTTCTTTCATCTCAGTCCTGACAAAACCAAGGCTCTTGTGTCCGGCCCTGACTGATTCACCGAGGAAGTCAGCCAGTCAGCCTGCTCGCTGATAATATCAAATCATCTGCTAAGAACCTTAGCATCATTCGTTATTATCTAGTATATTTAAATCTCACATTTCAAAGCTCGCCCAGCTTTCTTTCATTAAAGAAACATTGCAAACATGAAACCTTTTTTTTTCCCACCCAATCATCCAGAACTTTTAGTACACACTGTAACTGTCTCCCACTTATTTTTGCATCCCTTCACTGGCTTCCAGTGAAATTCAAAATTGTATTAATAGCATAAAGTCCTACATGGCTTAGCTCTCGCATAAACATGGAGAGCTACTGAGAATTTACAACATCTTTAAGTATCTCAGATCATCTAATCACGCTCTTAACTGTTAAAAACAGAGGTGCCCAGGTTTTCAGGTTACACCTAAACTCTGGAACAGCATTTCTCAGTAATTCAGGTCAGCTGAACCTGTGGTTTGTTTTATAGGATTACTGAGAACTTTATATAAGTTACTTTAAAAAAAGAAACGAAAAGCAAAGAAAAGAAAAACAATCTTTCTCCTATTATTTTTGGCTATAGGTTTACATCTGATGTATGTATAAAAGTTGCGTATATATATATTTCGATAAATGCAAGACCATGTGCTGGAACATATTCACTTGTGTTTAATGTGTGGTTTTATTTAAACTGTGAAACACTTTGTAACTCTATTTATTTAAAAGTGATAAACAAATAAAAGTTGTTATTATTATTAAAACAAAGAACAAGCTATTCCTTAAGACAAATATTCACTGTGCTGCTTATAAAGCCAGTCGTCAGACTAAAATAGTCCCCCCCAAAACAGCAACGCTTTGTTTTCAGTCCTTTTAACTGAGCGAGCAGGGCCATACAGGCCGGCTAACGGTGACAGCAGATACCGTTAGAAACACCCTACAGGCGAGGCACAGCCAGTAGTACCCGCAACAAAGCCTGTCGTTTCTATAATATATAATCTAGACGACATATTTATTGTAACACCAAACCAAGGCAATCTTACTATCGGCTGTTTTGTTAGCAATTTAGCTTGCAGTACATCCAGCCACCTTAGGGTTTAAGAGCTAACCGTTATTTTGTATGAAGGTAGCCGACAGGCTGGAAACTGTGTTTTGAATTAGAATCTTTCTTTAATCGTTCAGTGGAAAAAAAATAAAATTATCTACCAAATGGCTCGAAGAGTCTTCGTAGCTTCCAGAAAATTCTTCCGCACGCAACCCAGTGTATTCAGAGTTGTAAAAAACCCCGCTTTTTGCTCCAATTATACACAAATCAAAGGCTAGCTCTGTGACCAAACTGAAGCGGGCTAACGTTAGCCAGCTAACAACAGCCTACCTGTAATGTTGACGTTGTCATTTCATCTCACTTTAATGTGACACGCGCAGATTTCTGTCCTCTGTTCCTCCCCAAAGGTGGACACCTGAAGAAGTGATGTCTTTACCAGCCCTGTTCTGTACGAGGACTGCACGCTCCTGTCATGACAAAACAAAACAGTGGCTAATGCGGCGGCTAGCAAAGATGACAGCTCGACCCAACAAGACGTCAACCAACAGGGGCAGTGTTGCCAACTCCTCAGTAAGGAAAATCGCTATTGGTTGTCCTAGAAGTCGCTAAATGACGTCATCGCCTAATTTGCATAATTGGTCATGCTAATCTAATCGTAACCTATGTTGTTGGAGAGAGAAATAACATCGTGGAAGAGACATAAAGTGAGTAAAAAACGTCCTAAATGCATTTAGAGTTTATTTAGAACTACAAATTAAATTTCTTTTAGCAATTATTGTTTTTTTTTTAATGTCACAATTCCAACCCTGCTCCTTTACCCGGTTTTGGACCGGCAAAAGTGACCCAAATTAGGCACTCTGGTGGAGTTATTTTGGCTACGTTCACATTGCAGGTCTTAATGCTCAATTCCGATTTTTTGATCAAATCCGATTTTTTTGTCTGCTTGTTCCCACTATAAATAAAATGCGACAGCAAACGCGCTCTAGTGTGAACGCTCAAAGCGGCCCGCATGCGCAAAAGAAGACGTCACACACAACGAACTCCGTTTATACCCAGAGCAAACAATATTGTTTGACTGATGACCGTTAATATAAAGACTTCCGACTTTACGTTTCCCAATTTTTACATGATAATGTAAATAACCTAATAATTATCCTTATTGCTGTTTTAGAGGAGCGGTGCTTTAAAGGATAGTTGCAGATTTCTGTCAGAATCTACAGATGATACAGAACAAATAAAATGTTCACGTTTCTCCAACGTTGTCTTCCCAACAGTTTCACTGACATCTACACTGGATGGCCAGGAAGCGTTCGCGATGTCTTCTCCGGCGCTGATAATTGGCGTCTGTCTTGTGTCAGTGACGTAAAAGACGGATTTAATGCGACATGACCGTTCACATAGCAGTCGCTTTCTGAAACATCGGATATGTATCAGATTCAGTACCACATACGAAAGTGACCCAGATCCCGGATGTGAAAATATCGGATTTGTGTCGTTCACACTGTCACACCATGATCGGATATGGGTCGCATAGGGTCAAAAAAATCGGATTTGATGCGCTTTCGCCTGCAGTGTGAACGTAGCCTTTGTGTGTGTGTGTTTATAAGTAGTTTTAAACCTTGTGATCCACAAAACAGCATAAGAGTAAAAGAGTAAAAGACTTTAGCGACTTTTTTCTAAAAAAAAAAAAAGTCGCTAAAGGGTCTGAAAACTCGCTAAATATAGCGACAAAGTCGCTAAGTTGGCAACACTGAACAGGGGAGCTCACACGTGACAGCTTCCGGCGAAGTCTACCAAGGGCCCGTCGTAAAAAAATTTTTTTTTTTAAAATCAGCAAACATGTAGTCACCACATGAATTATTAATAATACACCAAGGTTATTATATTCTCAGAATTACATTTATATATAAATGTAATATTTTTCCGAGACTATAGAGACCATTTAACTTGGAAAACAACTTCCGGTTTTGTTGCTAAACTAATAAACTTGACAAACTTCAGGGACCTTAGCAGATGTTCAATGGCCTGCAACTACTGCCACCTAGCGGCCACAGCCACAAGCCTTTCTTTAAAGGCAGGAGTAGTTGGAGAAACACTGCGCTCATGTGAAATCAAGTATTTGGGAACGTTGTAGAGTACCCAACTGAACCATGCGAGAAAAAAAAATTATGGGATAGTTAAATTATGTTTGTGTGTGGTGTGTTTTAATCTGTACATATATTGTGACTGTATTATATAAACCCAGAACACAGCAATATAAAATTGGATTTTGAGTGTAATGTTCACTCACACTCTGATGGATGCATCAGGGGCAACTCGGGCTTCAGTGTCTTACCCAAAGATGCTTTTCAGCAAGCAGCCTGGAGGAGTCAGGAATCGATGCACCGGCCTTCAGTTGATCTTCCACCTGATCCACAGTCATCCCTGACAGACGCACCAAATTATGACCCCCACCAAAAATCTTCCTGACGCTTTTCCTCCACAAACACGTTGAAAGATCTATGGGTACTTCTTTGAGCAGCAATTTTGAAAAATTATAAATAACACATTATAAATAATAAATAAATGATAAAAGAAAAAAAAGTATTGAAAAAAGTACTAAAAGTAATCAGTAACTGTCCAAAAGTCCAGCCAGTCAATGTAATTGTGCCATTCAGACTAACCTGCCACTAATATCTGGATGTCTAGTCAAAGTTCACTAGAATGGAAACAAAAAAAATGTTTATAGCGTGTTTAGTATTAAAAAGGTTCAGTTATCATAAACACAAAGATGCTCTGGTTCATCTGACTGAGCTGTGGGCCACAAGTCATAACAACTGCATTAAATCATATCTGTTATTAACCTCTGTCTCTCTTCCACAGCATGTCTTTTATCCTGTCTTCCTTCTCTCACCCCAACCGGTCGCCCCTCCCTGAGCCTGGTTCTGCCGGAGGTTTCTTCCTGTTAAAAGGGAGTTTTTCCTTCCCACTGTTGCCAAAGTGCTTGCTCATAGGGGGTCATATGATTGTTGGGTTTTTTTCTCTGTATCTATGAAGCGCCTTGAGGCGACTTATGTTGTGATTTGGCGCTATATAAATAAAATTGAATTGAATTGAAGTCACACAGAAAACCACTGAAAAACAACACCTTGGTTTCTGTAACTTACAACAGTTTTATTGGTAGGTATGTACATTTGAGATTACTACATTGTTATCATACATTGTATACCGTCTCTTGGAAGGAAATCTAAAATACTTTGCATATGACAGGTTGTCGCAGCAGCATTTATCCTCGCGACTTTTCAGTTTCATGATTGTGTTGGACGCAAGCTGCCACAGATAATACCTTTGGTTCCACAAACCCCTTCTTTGAAGCGTTGCATAGACAGAACAGCCACGATTTGAGAACAAAGAGAGGAAGGAGATAAAAGGTGTACATTCACAGGTTTAAAAGGGGTTTGACAGGTTAGTGCATCGAGCTCAGAGAGGAACAGGACGGCCTCGTAGCTTCTTAAACTTCACATAATCAGATCAGGTTAGAGCAGTTAGAGTGACAAGAAAGCAAAAGTGTGGTGTAAAAGCGTATCCCTTTCACTACTGCTTCAAATGTTGCAGAAACTGACTTCATGCCAGGCTGAGCATAGCTCAAACTGTGACGTTTTAAGGGAAGCAAAGCTTACTTCAGCTGTAATACAGCCAACATTAACTGTAGCTTGAAAAGGCTTAAATCGCTAAACAGGAAGTGAGTGTACTGTGATGAATTTTCACATTCATTAAAAGAAAAAGAAAAAAGCATCACAAGGACACGATGTCCCAAATGGGACAGAGGTCATTCAGGCGGGTGACTGTGCTCCGTATCAGAGAACCGGGGTTATCTTGTTTTCCTATGTTGCAGTCAGTGCGCACAATGGCACATTGTGTTCTTTTGGACCTCAGACAGAGGCTCTACTGAAGGGTAACTTCAGCTACATGTATCATGAATAAGCTGACAGTGATTAAAATGTGTTTATTACAGTCACGTTGAACTCATTAACCAGCCAACGCAGGCAAAATGAACTGAAGGGGGAAGAATGGTCAACTTGCATATATTGGAAAAAATAAAAAAAAATCTGGTTCAGTCAGTTAAATATCACGTGCATCACATTGTGTCTGTCAGCACACTGACTACATGAACACCAACACTGCTGCGAGTGACCAGTACAACTTACAAGCGCTCATCATTTCTCAACATTTAACACAATTTTAGCACATTGGAGGGATAAACAAGAATGAATGGCTGGCATTCTTTTTCCCTGTGCTAACTTTGCATTATAATCAGTATTGTTGATGTTAAAGGGAACACCTGCTGCTCTTTTCCAACTCGATATTTTTATTCTGGGACTCCACAGGAGTAGCTCTGCTTGATTTACAGTTTAAAAAAAGATAATTTATCTACTAGACCCTCAGATGAGCCTTGATCTGCTTTAAATGGGTAATTTTAGCCACAGGCCCTTAAAGACACCACCACCCTTTCAGTAAAGGCTAACTTTATTCTGATTGGTTGATTTCTGAAAGGTTGCTGAGGGGGGGAGCTTAAGTTTGAGAATCATAACTCTCAATCAAATCTAATCTGGGAAAGAAAAAAAAAAGAGTGGGGAGGACAAACATCTGCAGCAGGTTATAGCAGAAGGTTTCTGTTAGGTGAATTTCAAACTAGAGCTTTTTACATGTGTACATATACTCTTTTCTTAACCTTGCATCCTGTTTTTTTTTTTTGTTCCTTGAACTCAACCCATGAGTGAGTGAAAATGAAATTTAAATGTGGTCACCACATGTGCACCTGGCTGCTTAACATGAAGTCTGTCAGTCTGATAAACTGGAAATATCGAAATGACGTTTGTCGGCTTTGTTGGTCTTTGGCAGCAGAGTCACAATATTTGTTAAATGAAGAAACTGTTTTTACAGAATGAGTCATTAAGCTGGCTGATTATTTCGAGCAAACAAGGAAGCTGAGGAAGGATCGACACTTTCTATTCTTGGACCCATTATTTCCTCTGCGCTCATTAACTTGACCAAACAGAGTGCAGTACTTTTAGTTTAATAATAATCTGACTTCAAGGCAAAAAATAAAGATTTTCACATAATTTGGCTGAGACTTCAAACTGCTCTCTGCTTTAGGTTCAAACTGGGATCACAGGTTTACAAGACAATAATTCCTAAACTGAGGTGACTATAAAAACAAGGCAATTCCAGCTGATTGCATACAAGATTTTCAATAAGCTACATGTGCTGTCATATGTAGCTGCCTTTCCTCAGGCTTCCAGAATTGGACCTATGAGAAGAAAGTTTGATTTATGGGGAGGGGAGCCTTAAAGAGACAGGAGACAAAACGTCTGATTGGCTGAAACAAGAGGGCAGAGTAGTAACTCTAAACGGACTGCTAGAGGAAAAATAAAGAGCTGGAAGCGAGCGCAACAGGTCCACCTAATATGAGAGACTTAAGGTTTAATATTTTTCACTTTGGGTGCTTAAAATGAGAAAAAGTCACTGTAGAACTTGTTGGGTAAACTCAGCCATTCATGGTACTCCAGAGGAACACTGATCTTTGAACATTTAATC